CCCCCCCCCCATTTTCTGCAACTAGTGACCAGACATCCTCCTTTTCCAGGACAAGTCCTACGTTTCAGCCTTCTGTCCTGGAGGGATTCCAAAATGTCCTCCCTTTTGAGCATGGTGAAGAAACATGAATTTATAGTTGTGTTTTTTGTTTTTCTTTTGGAATGTCCTACATTTTGCAATACTGTCCTCCTTTGCGGTTACAGTGATGGGAGATGGTAAAACAAGGCCAGCGTCTGGTTTTGTTGAAGCTGAATAGTTTGCTCCTCTTTAAACTGCAGTAAATGGTCTTACTGGAGAGACTTCATGAAAAATTAAGGTTAACATTTGCAAACCTTGGAATGCAACCTCTGCACCTTTCACACTTTTAAATACAAAAAGCAGTGTCAACCCTGCTGACCCATAAGAAAAACTCCAAAATGCATAATGGATGTTCAGCCTTTATCCTAGTTGGATTGTTGTTGTATGGCTTTAAGTCATTTCCGACCTATGGCAATCCTTATGGTGACTTGCCCAAAGGTCTTCCATGGTTGAGTGCGTATTTGAATCCTGAGTACTACTCCAACGCTCAAACTTCAAGCCTCCCGGGCCTTTTACTAGGACAACAGAAAAAAGATGAAAGCTTTTGAGACTCTCAGATCTCTTCATCAGGAAAGATGTTTCAAGAACCTGAGAGGGAATGTTTGAACTTAATGTCACAAAGTTTATATGCTGTGATGCAAAGGAAGGTCCTGCAGGTCCAGAAGGGGCTCACCAGATGATATGGTACTGGGTTTCAATGAAAGTAGAAAGCCAGCATGGTGTAATGGTTTGAGCATTGGACAATGACTCTGGAAACCAGGGTTCGAATTTCTGCTTGGCCACAGAAACCCATTGGGTGATCTTAGATGAGTCACACTCTCTCAGCCTCAGAGGAAGTCAAAAGCAACCACCTTCTGAACCAATCTTGCCAAGAAAATCTTGTGATTACACCTTATTACTGTACTTGGAAATGACTTAGAAGGCACACAGCAATGAAAGTAGGTCCTAAAGGGGGGGAAAAAGCAAAGCAGCTTAATGTTCCATTTTTAAATTATAAAATTGTATTGTATACTCAGAACAGTCTCCATGCATCTGAAACACACATTTAAAATTTGTGTCTTGGCAGAATGTGAGACTGATGGGAACGGTGACTGCTGCTTAGCCATCCTTCCATACTCATGAGGTTGGTATTTATTAACAAGGTCTTTCGACGTCTGTAGAAATGCATTAAGAAACACAAAGTGGACACAAGGTACAATTTTCTTTATTAAAAATAATTTACATCAGTTAAACATTTTATGCACAATGGTCAGCAGATTAAACTTTTGTAAGATTTCTATACAATACTTGTCAGTCAACTTAAAACCATTACATATTGCGATGTTGGCTTAAAAGAGCAGACATTCATTTGCAATTGCTTAAGTGTGATTAATAAAGTGTGAGTATATCATTTTGCAGGTGTATAATTTATCAACACTCCCCCAAATTTGGTAATGGTGGTTTTTCAGAGGACTGGGGGGAAAAAGTTCTCTGACAAATCAACGTAAAGGGAGATTGCAAAGACAAAATACATTTCCAGTTTCGGTGATTCTTTCTAGTACTTTGTATCAACTAGCTAATGAATCCATACCAAGTCTGAAATATATATGTTTTGCCACTGCTAAAAGATGGACAAAATTCACATCATTTTCTTGCAAACCAATAGGATCGTATAGAGAGCATCTCCAGCCACTCAGTCCTGCCCCACTTTTGCAGCTTTTATACAATGCACTTGTAATCCTCCATCCAGATGTTACTGAACTCTAATTTTCCTCATTTCCAGCCAACCTGGCTAATAGAAGTGATAGGTGCTGCAGTCCCATAACATCTGGAGGATACTAGGTTGGGGAAGACTGCAGGAAGAAAGCTTGCCTCTGCCTTTGGCAAGTGTTAAAAACTGCTTCATAACCAAAAACTAGAACAAACTACGTACCACTAGCATTTCAGACATGTACCCCAAATATGAGCATATTAACTGTGAAGTCTGCCCTACTAAGTTCAGAGGACCTAATGCCCGGAAAGCACAATCCTTTGACTTTTTGAAGGGGGAACCTAAGGAATGGCAGAGGCATTGTAGGACTACTCCTGGCAGTATTTTGATTTAAAAAGAGCTCTGTTCACATGAATCACTTTGTTTCAGTGTCCACATGCCAAAATCAGAAAACCTTCCTTCCTTGTCATGCACGTCATGTAGTCCTACAAAACAGCAAGATAGCGTACTTTGCAAGGGAAACAACTACACCTTCTTTGCACTTGATCTGAAAATGGCCCAATTAAAAGTTTAAGCTCAAGTATCAATGTCAGGGTAATCATGGAAGCTTTTCAGATGGGCGTTCAACTTGTAAATAATGTCAGAATTCTATCTCTGTATCCAAAGCTCCATGAGATTTGGGAACATATGCTTTCACTCAAGTTACAAACCTTTAAAGATGTAAATGAGCCTTCAAGCAAGACTTATGTTGTTTTAGATCACTAGTAGGAAATAACAAGTGTGTCCCTTAAAGGCACACCAGCTTCGGGAAGAAAGAGTTTTGAGAGTCAGGAAGAATGTCCGCTTGCATTAACAACAGAGAAGGTCTCACTAGGCTGGAAAAGTTATATGAAAGATTGCTACACATACAGAATCCTTCTTTTGCTTTCCCTGCTAAGATGCAAAATACACCATTATTTGAAAGATAATTATTAGGTCAGAATTACTTTGGAGGTCTTTCATTCAAACAAAATGCAGACAAGAGGCCCATGTCAATGTACTTATTGACAGTCAATCAAAAAAACATCTGGCTGCAAGGTGGCAGGGAGGGGCACAGATGGCCTAGCTAATATTTTATAGAAGATACTGATCCAAGAATTATAG